CGAACCTGTGAGCTCAGGCAATCCACTCACCTCAGCCTCCCAAAGTGCTGGGATTACAGGCTGAGCCACCGAGCCCGGCTATGTACCACATTTCTTTTATCCAGTCCAGCTTTGATGGGCAGCATGGTTGATTCCATATTTTTGCCTTTGTGAATAGAGCTGCAACAAACATGCATGTACAGGTATCTTTTTGGTAGACTATTTCTTATTCTTCAGGAAATCAGTCCAGTGAGAGGCGTACACATACAAAAGTATAAATCAAGGCAGATTTTTAAACAATTCAGTAATGGAATACAACAATGAACCAATTATTTTTATTTTTTATTTTTTGAGTCAGGTTCTCACTCTGTCGCCCAGGCTGGAGTGCAGTGGCACACTCACAGCCACCACAGCCTTGCCTTGCTGTGTTTAGGCGATCCTTTTGCCTTAGCCTTCCAAGTAGCTGGAACTACAGGTGTGCACCCCTATGCCTGGCTAATTTTTTGGTTTATTGTAGAAATGAGGTCTCACCAAGTTGCCGAGGCTGGTCTTGATTTCCCGGGCTCAGGCAATCTTCTTGCCTCTTCCTCCCAAAGTACTGGGATTACAGGTGTGAGTCACCATGCCTAACTGAACCAATGCTTTTATATACCTTGTAGTGAAACATGCCTTATAGTGAAACATGATTTGCAATCAGCTCTGAAGTCGGCATGCCAATTTAGCTCTGGCGAATTTAAACCCTTAGCCTCAGCTCCATGTGCGTAAAATGAGGGTCATTATACTTATCTTTAGAATTATAATTCTAATTACAAGATTGAGGACTACTGATAACATAATAAAGTTTCTAGGAATAGTTGATATTTAATAAACAATGGACACTAGTACTTAATGCTTAAAGGAGAAAGATGGAGCAAGTATGGTTATCTCTATCTACAAACGAAGAAACTAAATCTCAGTGAGATTAAGCAATTATTCTGAAGTCACCAAATCAGTAAGTGAAAATGCCAGATCTTTTGAATTCCCACCACCCCCACCCACTACCACAGCCTTTTAAAAACCATACTTTCACCTATTTCATGCTTTTCTGTTCAAATGCACTAGGGAGATTGTCAAAGGTAAGACAGATATCTAGGAAAGTGAGACTTTAATTTTTAAATTTTTATTATAAAGATGTGGTGTACATTTCAGGGTTAGGTATATAAACATTGATCATGTAGGTACCCTTGTTGATGAGTTATGCCCCTCCCTTCCCTAGCAGACCTGTCAATCCCACCCCCCCGACAGTTTCCCACTACTGTCAGTCGCTTTCTTATATCATTATAATTGTTCAAGGTCCATTTATGAGTGAGAACATATGAAACTCTGTTCTTTGTTTCTGTGATAAATTACTGGGTATGATCAACTCCAAATCCATCCAAGTTGCTGCAAAGTTCTTATATTTGTCCTTCTTTATGGCTGCATAGTATTCCATTATGTATATGTACCACATTTTTAAAATTCAGGCCAGCTTCCATGGGCAACATGGTTGGTTCCATGTTTTTGCTATTGTGAATAGAGCTGCAACACATATGTGTGCAGGTATCTTTTTTGTAGAATGATTTGAGTTCCTCCGGGTATATCCCTAATAGGGGAATTGTTGGGTCATATAGAAGGTCAATTTCTAGTTCTTTCAGAAATCGCCACACTGTCTTCCAAAGAGGTTGTATTAGTTTGCATTCCCACCAGCAGTGGGAATGAAGCGTTCCTTTTTCTCCACATCCTCGCCAGCATCTATTATTGTTTGTTTGGTCATTCTTACAGGGGTTAGATGGTATCTCAATGTGGTTTTGATTTGCCCTTCTCTGATCATGGAAAGTGAGACTTTAAGCAGGGTCCTGACCTTAGGAGAGGTGAGTTTAAGGAGAAAAGGATGAGCAGAAGCTAAGGAGCGTGTACGTAGGGAGCATCAGGGAAAGGGTCAAGGGTCGGCCAAGAGTGGGAGAGGGTTCGACAAGGCTAGAGGGTGGGCTTCTCCCAAGCCCTAGGGTGCCGATCCGGTACACAACGGATGCCAGAACTGGTACATGCAGATCTGGTATATGGAGGATGCCAGAACAGCAGCACAGAGAGACGTTTGCACCGGGACACTGGCCGCTCGCCTGGTTCTCCCCAAGATCGCCTGGCCCACCCCCGGGGGCGGGGACCCGCGGTGCAGCTGACCTATCACCGCTGCCGAGGCCGATGGAGTCACTTTTTCATTGGCGAGGGTTGGGATGACGTCATGCTCGCCGGACTGGCGAAGGACCGGGGCGCCATGATTGGTTGGCGCTGGGGCGGCGGGCGGCGGAAGGGCCTGGCGAGTCTGGGTTTTAAGCCTGTGCTGGACTTTCTCCTTCCATGTTTCCAGGCCTTGGGGGACTGCAGAGGGAGGGGAATCGGCGCAGTGGAAACCTGGATTTGGTTCTAAGAACCGCGGGGTTGAGAAGGGGTGACCGGAAGTGATTTTAGGACTGACCGGAAGCGAGGCCTGGAGGGGAAAGAGCGAGCAGGTCCCGGGAGGGAGGGGGCTTCCAGCAGAAGGGGCGGGGGGAAAGGTTTGCAAAAGCGGCGTGGGAGCGCCGGTCTGGCTTTCTGGCGCTGCCGCTGCCCAGTTTGGGAAGCAGCGAGCGACCACCACGAGCTCAAGGGAGTGGGAGTGTGGGAGTCCAGAGCTGCCCCTGGGAAGTCTGGAACAGTTGAGCAGAGGGGGCCTCACCTTCCTGAGAGCTGGGCGGGAGAAGGATTTTGGAAGTCGGGGCAGCCAAGAGCGAGGAGCCTGGGGCACCGGAGATTAGTTGTGCGAGCAGTGCTGGACGGGCTTGGGGGTGGCTTGGTGGGCACTGGGGTGGGAGATCTCGGTTTGGAGTTTTCTGCTGTCTTACCCCTGTTGGGTAGAATCACGTTCCGCGCCTTTGTACAAGAAACGGTGGTGTCTCCCGAGGCAAGGACGGAGCCAGGATGGCTTGGGCTCTGAAGCTGCCTCTGGCCGATGAAGTGATTGAATCCGGGTTGGTGCAGGACTTTGATGCTAGCCTCTCGGGGATCGGCCAGGAACTGGGTGCTGGTGCCTATAGCATGAGGTGAGTGAGATTTTCCCAGACCCTACACCTTCTGAATAACAAAGGCAGGCTGGAAATGGAGAAAAGGGGTGGGGGAGGAAGGAGGTGTATAGAGTTTAAAAAGCTGTCTGCGGTTGCGGAACAGGGACTTGTTCTTTTGTTTCTTTGAGTCGTGAGTGTCGTGGAATAGAAAAAGAGATGGTAGGCAATATGAAATCTGTGCAGGATCGGTGGAAGAAGGAAGAGTGGTTCTTGATTAGCAACCAGATGAATGTTGAGAGGCTTTTGTGCCAATGTGGGAGACTTGGAGACTGGTGGTGTATGTGTGGGTAATTCTGGCTTTATATGAGAAGAGATTACGTTTAGCGTATGAGGGGTGTCTAGGGAGTTGGGAGCCAGGGCTTGATGACAAATATAGGTTCATTGCTTGTTGGAAAGAACTGGGAGACCTAGTGAAGAATTCCGTACAGCTGCAACTTATCCTTAGCCTGCTTTAAGACTACTTGATACTGGGGTTTTCTGACTTTTAAAACATAAGCTGTGAAATGAAAAAGTCGTGACGAGAGCTTTGAGATACTTCTGGGTCTTCATGTATCAAGCCAATTGTTGATAGTACATTAAAAATCTCCACTGAAAGCATTACTGCCTACATACCTTTTTTGCGCGCTTTGGCTACTTCATTCCCCCTGTACGATTTGTTTCATTTGTAGATGTGTCAGAATCATGTGTGGAAATGTTGGAAGAGCTGCATCTTAGGGCGACATGGACTATAATTGGGTTTCCTAAGGCATTTTAAGGCTTAATCTAAATAAGTGAGTCAAGAGACCAGAACTTAACACTTTCACTGGATTTATGAATTTATTGAAGAAAGATGCTTTTTTATGGGGAAAGCAGACAAATTTTTCACTTTGCTAGTGAGATCCTTTAAGAGTTATGTAAAGTTATTTTATCCCCGCTAATTCATAGTGGATTAATTGTGAGTTAGAATTTAACACTTCAGCATCCTCAGGTATCTTTGCTTATAGTTAGAATGATGAAGGCAATCCTTCTATAGATATTTTAGTGATTTTCAGGGAAATCTGAGTTTTGTCGTGCAGTGCTCTTAGTCTTGAGAAATTTAGCTTTAATTTTGTCTGTCTTTGCTTTTGCAAGACTGACCATAAAAATAGAGATTAAGCCGGGCTCGGTGGCTCAGCCTGTAATCCCGCTCCTTTGGGAGGCTGAGGTGAGTGGATTGCCTGAGCCCGCGGGTTCGAGACCCGCCTGGGCAGCGAGACCTCATCTCTACAATAAATCAAAAAATCAGCCGGGCGTGGTAGCGCATGCCTGTAATTCCGGCTACTTGGAAGGCTGAGGCGGAAGGATCGTCGGAGCCCAGAGGCTGCGGTGGCCGGGAGCGGCCACTGCACTCCAGTCTGGGTGACAGAGTGAGACTCCAACTCAAAAAAAAAAAAGAGATTAATTTGGTCTGAAAATAAATGCCCTTACCCAAAGATTGCACATCAGTATCTGACATAATATTTGACCATTTTTATGCTGTTGCTTGTGTAACGATTATCATAGCAAAAAGTTTGATTTTGTTTATGTTTAGGATGGAAATAATTAAATACAACTATTTGTTATATAAGCAGTTAACATCATCAGAAGACATTTGTCCTTCTATGTGCACTACCATATGTTCTCGATACCGTGCGACCTTGCATTTAAGAGTGCTTTACAGCCGGGCTCGGTGGCTCAACCTGTAATCCCAGCACTTTGGGAGGCTGAGGTGAGTGGATTGCATGAGCCCGCGGGTTCGAGACCCGCCTGGGCAACTTGGCGAGACCTCATCTCTACAATAAATCAAAAATTAGCCGAACGTGGTAGCACATGCCTGTAATTCTGGCTAATTGGAAGGCTGAGGTGGAAGGATCGCTGGAGCCCAGCAGGTCGAGGCTGCGGTGGCCGGGAGCGACTCAAAAACAAAAAGAGTGCTTTACAAATCATACCTTGTGTGCTTTACAAATCATACCTTGTGAACTTTTCACAGACATTTGAATGGCTTGCATATTTACACATTCAAAACTTTTTTCTGGCCAGGTACATAGCTAACATCTGTAATCCTAGCATTTTGGGAGGCCAGGGTGGGAGGATCTTTTGAGGCCAGGACTGTGTGACCAGCCTGGGAAACATAGTAAGACCCTGTCTTTACAAAATTTTTTTTTTTTTTTTTGAGTTGGAGTCTCACTCTGTCGCCCAGACTGGAGTGCAGTGGCTGCTCCCGGCCACCACAGCCTCGACCTGCTGGACTCCGGCGATTCTTCCACCTCAGCCTTCCGAGTAGCCGGAATTAAAGGCGCGCACTACCACGCCCGGCTAATTTTTTGATTTATTGTAGAGATGAGGTCTTGCCTGCCCAAGTGGGTCTTGAACCCGCGGGCTCAGGTAATCCACTCACCTCAGCCTCCCAAAAGCGCGGGATTACAGGCTGAGCCACCGAGCCCGGCTGTCACTATTCTCTTGACTGTTATACACATTTAATCATTTCTGTTTATTGCGTCAATTAGATACTGGTTCTCAAACCTTAGTAATCCCGTACCTTTGGGAGGCTGAGGTGAGTGGATTGCCTGAGCCCATGGGTTCAAAACCAGCCTGGGCAACTTGGCAAGACCTGGTCTCTACAAAAAAATCAAGCAACTAGCTGTGTGTGGTGGCGCATGCCTGTGGTACTTGAAGGCTGAGGCAGAAGGAGCACCTGAGTTCAGCAGGTTGAGGCTACGGTGACTGTGAGCATGCCACTGCATTCCAGCTGGGGCGACAGATAAGACCCTGACTCTCAAAAAAAAAAAGAATACAGTTTACAGTAGCAGTCCCCAACCTTTTTGGCATCAGGGACCGGTTTTGTGGAAGTCAGTTTTTCCAAGGACTGGAGAGGGGGGTGGTTTCAGGGTGATTCAAGTGTATACCATTTATTGTACTTTATTTCTATTATTATTGCAATATATAATGAAATAATTATACAACTCACCATAAAAAAAGAAGATGGAAGTGGTAAATAAAATAATGGGTGGGAAGCCGGGCTCGGTGGCTCAGCCTATAATCCCGCGCTTTGGAGGCTGAGGTGAGTGGATTGCCTGAGCCCGCGGGTTCGAGACCCGCCTGGGCAACTTGGCGCGACCTCATCTCTACAATAAATCAAAAAATCAGCCGGGCATGGTAGTGTGTGCCTGTAATTCCAGCTACTCGGAAGGTTGAGGTGGAAGGATCCCCGGAGCCCAGCAGGTCGAGGCTGCGGTGGCTGGGAGCAGCCACTGCTCTCCAGTCTGGGCGACAGAGTGAGACTCCAACTCAAAATAATAATAATAATAATAATAGGTGGGGCACACTCAGACTAAAATAAGTGTCAGATTCTAAATTGAAGCCTGCCACCAGATGCAGCTGTACAATTGAAGTACATCAACTTACTTTCCACTCACTGATAGGATTTTGATATGAGTCTGTAAGTGATTTATTATGGTCTCTGTACAGTCACACCTCACTGCTAATGTTAATCTGTATTTGAAGCTGCTCCCTAGTGCTGGAATCAATGCCTCAGCTCCACCTCAGATCATCAGGTATTAGATTCTCATAAGGAGCATGCAGTCTGGATCCCTTGCATGCACAGTTCACAGTAGGGTTTGCACTCCAATGAAACACTAATGCTGCCACTGATCTGACAGAAGGTGGAACTCTGACAGTAACATGAGTGATGGGGAGTGGCGGTAAATGCAGATGAAGTTTCACTTGCTTGCCTGTTGCTCATCTCATGCTGTGCGGTCCCCTTCCTAACAGGACAGGGACCGGGACCAGTTCTTTTTATTTATTTATTTATTTATTTTTGAGTTGGAGTCTCACTCTGTCGCCCAGACTGGAGTATAGTGCCATGCTCCCGGCCACCGCAGCCTCGACCTGCTGGGCTCTGGTGATCCGCCCGCCTCAGCCTTCCGAGTAGCTGGAACTACAGGTGCGTGCTACCACGCCCGGCTAATTTTTTAATTTATTGTAGTGATGAGGTCTTCCCAAGTTGCCCAGGCGGGTTTCGAACCCGCAGGCTCGGGCAATCCACTCACCTCAGCCTCCCAAGGTGCGGGGTTACAGGCTGAGCCACCGAGCCCGCCGGGTTAGGACCAGTTCTTAATAGGCCCATTCTTGTTTTTCTTTGTTTGTTTTTTTGGAGTCAGCCTCTCACTGTCGCCCAGGCTGGAGCACAGTGGCATGCTCACTGCTACTGCAGCTTCGACCTGCTGGGCTCAGGTGATCCTTCCGCTTCAGCCTTCCAAGTAGCCAGAGCTCCAGGTGCAGGCTACCATGCCCAGCTAATTTTTTGATTTATTGTAGAGATGAGCTCTCACCAAGTTACCTGGGCTGGCCTCAAACCCGTGAACTCAGGCCATCCTCTCACCTCGGCCTCCCCAAGTACTGGGATTATAGGTGTGAGCCACCGTGCCTGGCCTGCTAGTGGGAATTTTAAGGTCAAGTAAGATTAAGTGATGAAGAGCAAGCAAGTTAAGTTTGGGGGGCTTAAGCAGATTGGTTTCCAATACACCTATGACTACACTAAAGACAATTGAGTTGTGTACTTTAAATCGTGAATTGTTTGTCAATAGAGTTGTGAAAAGAAAGAGTAAAAGAGGACCAGCCCAATGGCTCACGCCAGTAATCCCAGCACTGTGGGAGGCCGAGGTGAGAGAATTGCCTGAGTTCAGGGTTCAAGACCAGCCTGGGCAACTTGGTGAGACTTCATCTCTACAATAAATCAAGAAAAAATTAGCCAGGCATGGTGATGCATGCCTGCGTTCCAACTACTTTGAAGACTGAGGTGGAAGGACTGCCTGAGCCCAGCAGGTCGAGGCTGTGGTGGCCATGAGCATGCTACTGCACTCCAGCCTGGGTGACAGAATGAGACTCTGACTCAAAAAAACAAATAAAAAGGTTACATTTTTTTTTTTTTGAGTCAGAGTCTCACTCTGTCACCCAGACTGGAGTGCAGTGGCCACTCCCGG